ATAGAGGAGAGAAGGGGGAATTTGGAGAACTTATAAGAGGAGATGTAGACAGGACATGAGATATTCATGGAAGGAAGAAATTAGCATCTCTGAGAACTAAAAGAAGAGGAAAATATGTGTGTGCAAGTGGGGACCAGTGGGCGACAAAACTAAAGTTTGACAAAGGAATACAGTAGTGAAATAGAGCATGACAATATGAAATTTTATATAATAAAGAATAAAGATAATGTTTCATATTAACAGCATAGTGGACTTAGATGTAAGGAAATTATGTATCAGAGTTGTTAATTTCTTAATATTCTCTAAACTTTACTCAAAATACTTGCATGGAAAATATGATTACTGACTTTAATTCCACCTTGTGGAAATAGCACATTCAAAGATTTACTTATATAATAACAGATAAGTCTGATTAATTCTATAAAATTTCACTTCTAATAGAATCCTTGAATTTGCTAGATATTTAAGAATAGCATAAGATCTACTTATTCGAAACGTTTAGTGTTGAATTTTTGCTACATTCTTGAACAATTGAACCTTATGTTCTCATGGAAAGAAACAATTGACATGGTAAATAGGTAAATCATAATTATGTTCTTTTAGAAGAGAAGTATTATGGAGAAAAGTGAAGCAGGTAGAGGTAATAATGAGTGTCAGAATAAAGTTTTCACTATAATTAGATAGTCATAAGATAACTTACTGAGAAGTCTTCATCTAAGCATGGCTTAAATGAGGTGACGAAATGGGCATTGTATCTGGGAGACATTTCAGGGGAGGAAATCCCAAGTGCAAAAGCTTTGGATAAAGGCCTGATAGGCATGTTTTAACAAAGGTAGCAGTCTGAATGAAGCATTGTGAGTGAGGGAAAGAGTAGAATAGAGCTTTGAAAAGTCACTTTTATGACTGTTCAGGTTCAAGGGTGGTAGTGTAGACAATATAGGATCTCATAGTTCATCATAAAAGTTTTGGCTCTATTTTTGTTCCCATGTAATGGATGGTGAAAGCTTGGACCAAAATGGTGGTGGTGAGGTTTGGATGCTGGTATATATTTAAAGGTAATGCCTATAGTGTTGAAGACGAATGTAGGAAGAATGTAACAAAAACAGTTAAGCATGGTTCCAAGTGACTGGTTCTGTGCAGCAGAAAGAATCAAATGATTTATTCATATTAGGAAGACTTTGAGGATGGAAAGAAGGAATTCATTTTGAAAAATGAGTTTGGGAGATGTGCTAAATAGCCAGGAAAATGTATTAAGAAGGCAGTTAGAATCTGCATTCTGACCTTCATAAGAGAGGTATAGCTTGGAGATAGAGTTTGGGAAATATCAGAATGATGGTATTTAAACTGTAAGCTTTGATGGGATCATAGAGTAATTGTGACTAGAATGGGAAAAAGGACCACAGACTGGGGAGCATGGTGTTTCAAAATTAGAATCTTAGGGAGGAGAGAAGGTAGTGAGCAGTGAGGGAGACTGAGAAGGATTAGCCAGAGATGTGGGAGGAAAAAAAGGCCAGTGTGGTGTCTTAGAAATCAATGGAATAATCAATTATTTCCTGTGCTGGTAATACATCAAGTTTGATGAAGACTGCAAATTGCTCATTTTGGTTAGTAATGTGAAGGACATTGCTGACTTTCCTAAAAACAATGTCAATGGAATGGAGGGAGTTCCGTGGAATGATAGCAGAATAGAGGAACAGATCAAAAAGGTTCCTGTTGACCCTGCAGGGTTAGTCTCTGCCCTCTCTTAGAAATAATGACAAATCATTGCACTGTCTTCTTTACCTTTAAATTTAAATTTCACTCCCTTCCCCCAAACATATATATATTTTTTCCCCAACACAAAGTAAAGTCATTAGGCTCATTTATTCAGTTATAATAGTCCTACCCTCTCTAAAATAATAGCATATTAAGCATGATTGGATCTAAGATGTTCCCACAAATCCCAACCATTCATTTATATATATATTCTTTGGCTACATCTATAAATATTAATTTCATCCTAAACACAGAAATTTTATTTTTCTATCTCTTAGAGTCACCTTACTTCAAGTTCTTGTACCTATTTTATTGGCATAGTTAGAGACTGATAATTCAAATGGGATTTTAAAATGTTCTAAGAGAGCACATTATTCATCAGTTGTCAACTCCATCCACTTCCACTATCATTTCAAAGTTTCTGATACTTATTAATGATCCTTAAGCAGCCTTCATTCTCTGATCCATCCATTCAGCCACACATTTGTATTACTGGGAAACATGTTAGAAGTATAGCTCTTCCAGCAATAAAAACAGTTGTAGTCGTATAAATCTAAAAGTGTAATAATAAGAGACAATTATTCATACCAGAAATGTGATTTTTTTTCTGCATCAATTTTGCTGCATCATTTTCAAATTATACTCATCATAAAAATGTTATGGAGACTCAGAGGTCTTATCCACCTGCAAGGGAAACATTATTTACATAGTATGGTTATACCAATAAAAACAGAATTATTTGGATGGGTAATGTGTAATATTCAGTTAGTCATTTGGTCAAAGAAAGATTTCTCATGAGTTTTTCCCCTTATTTATCTGTGAAAACTAATTTCAAACATAGTATAATTTTAAAATCTAAATAACCAGTTGTAATCAGACTGATATTTTCAGTTGAAATGAATTCCTTTGACAGCATGAGCATACACCCACCCACATGTCTATAATGGAAATCATTTCAGCAGACACTAGACTGCCCCGGACTTCCCACGGCCTCACAGCATGACAGCGCTGGTCCTGGGTACTGACACTTTTCATCTTTTTGAAGATAGACACCCTCCAGTTGTCATCTCATAGGAAAGCAGGAAGTATGCTAAGCTCTCCAGTGGACTTGGAATTTAGCATCGTGCCAGTGGAAATATCCTATCCAATATTATGATTTATTTTGAAGGAGAGTTAAAAAAAAAAAAAAAAACATGGGAGGAAGCTGTGCACAACATGGCCTAACAGCTGGCTGGTTTATGTCCCAGAAACAGCTTGGGACTAACTGTATTCACAAGATCTCTTGGCAGAGGAGCTTAATGAAAATACCAAAGCTGCGAGGGGTCGTGTTCTTTTGCTGAGTCCTTTATGTAGCTGTCATATGGTTTATTAACCTAAATGAGGACTTGTGTGCCATTTTTCTAGGTTCCTGTATATTTAAAGGAAGAAAGTACTGATTCCATGTATAACATATATATAGTTCATCATAGTATTCACACCAACTACACCTTACTATTTTTCATAAACTGTAATCCTGGAGATGCAGTGATTCCCTTCTTTGTTTCAAGTAGCATTTTTTGTGGCAGTAAAGGGAGAGCTTGATAAGGGAGAAACAGAAGCATAAATTCAAGGGTGCTGTGTATTTTTTGGATGCCAAAATTAATTGCTAAGAGAAACTAATTTTAATTGCTTCATGCATTAATTTATTCTTTCTTTTAACTTTTAGTCAATACTTTAAGTAATGGAGGCAACTTAGTTTTGAACATATTTCTGGTTGCCTGTCAAGTGCAAGAACAGTGGCATATACAAGATTTACTCTTTTAGAAAACTTAGTGGGTATTTGGTATTTTGAGATTGAGTATTTTAGGATATCTTACATTCTTTCATTCTCAAATCTGCTGATTAAATTTATTCTTTACTGACTACCCAACATAATTTCTATTAGCTGGGACATTTCATATATTTATCGTGAGGCATTTTGAGTCCATTCTTTGTGAAATCAGCACTTGTTTCTAATCTCAGAATTTTCTGTATTTATTTCTCTAGTGACTCAAGTAGTTTATTGGCAGTCAGTTTGTAAAACGCTCTCAGGGATTATCTAAATGCAGGATGTTAGGAATGAAAATGCATATCATTGCCTCTCCTGTCAAAAGATATAATTAACACACATGATATATCATCTTGCAAAAGTGGATGAAAATTCCAGTCAGTGACCTCAAGTCATAGCTCCTATTGCATGTGCAGACTGTCATGTTCCTGAATGGCTCCCCACCCAGGACAGGATCCTGGATTCCTCCCTTCGTGCATTCATCTCTCTTTAGTCTGCTGTGCATGTGGTCACAAACGTGTGTGTGTGTGTGTGTTTTCAGTCTAAACCTACCACTCAACTTTGATTTCTTTTTTTCATCTGGTTTAATTTATTTGGTAGGTAATAATGCATTTACAAAGAACACAAAAAGTGAAAGTACTTCTTCCTATCAATATATTCAGTGTCCTCATTCTTTATTACAGTGTACATAATTCTTAATATAGATGTATAGCTTATTTAACTAGCGCCACATTGATGGATATTATGTTGTTTCTAGCCTTTTAGTATTACCAAGATGTAAATAGATGTATGTGATATATATGTGTGTATGTATATATTTGTGTGTGTGTATGTGTGCATGTGTGTATGTGCGCATGTGTAATGTCTGTAGGATATTCTCCCAGAAGTGTACTCCATCAGACAGTATTATCAATATTACCAATATTTGGTGGGGTTTCAACAAGTTGGAATATGATAAAGTTTATTATTGCAGTTTGAATTAACAGTTTCTTTTAAGTGAGGTTGCCTCAAAAGTTTCTGATGGTTTCCTATTTTTGTCTGATACTTTATAACTTTTTAAATGAAGTTTTCTGGTTTCCCATTACAAACCAGATTATTAAATAAATTTACACAATAATTTCCAGAAAAAAAGAATTTAAGAATTTATGGGAATTCCAGGAAGCTCAAGTAGATGCAATGCCTTGGAATAGTGGAATATATGTAATTGTATTACAAAAAAAAAATGCCTGGAATGTAAACAAGTCTAAATCAGGTGTACTCTATAAATACATAAAATTCCTCAATTACTTCACTATATTCTAGTGTAAACATGAACTTGATTTGTTTGACAAAATAGGACAATGAAATATACCTTTATCCAAAATAAAAAAATCCAACAAAATCAAATATTTAGTTTTTTTTGTGATTTAATTGTTAAATTATTTCCTACTCTGTGTAGATTCACATCTCTTTGATCAATGGGAGACCAAGTGCTGATGATCCTTCTCCTGAACTGCTAGAATTTACTTCTGCTCGCTATATTCGCCTGAGATTCCAGAGGATCCGCACATTGAATGCTGATTTGATGATGTTTGCTCACAAAGACCCAAGAGAAATTGACCCCATTGTCACACGAAGAGTAAGTTATGCTACATCATATTGGAGCCTGTGAATGATACTGCTACAATGTTTAAATTGTTGGTTAAATAATTTGAAAAGATATCTTTTGTTGATTTGCAGAAGTGGATATCAGAGATCTTAAAATTTGATACACTTTTCCTTATTCAAATCTAAGCTCTGTTACTTATTAGGTATGTGACATTTATCAGACTTTCTAACATTATAAAATTAAACTTTAATTTTCTCTTTTATCAAATGAAATCACAATGCTACCTCATAATCTTATTTTTGAGAAATAATATTTTTGAGTGTTTTGTCACTTCAGGTGATCTGTTGTTTTTTTATAATCATCTTTGGGGAATTATTATAGGAAGTACAGGAGTTTTAAAATATTTTTGGTGGCAATAAGAAATGTATTTTTTATCATGATTCCATATAAACACACACATACACATGCACACACACATTATATCGCATCTTCAACTTCAATGTACAGAATCAGTTGGTGGATTGTATATATGCAGATTTTAATCCAGTAGAGTCGAGAAACTGCACTTCTAGCAAGTTCTCAGGTAATGCAGTTGCTGCTGTCCTATGGACTATTTTGTCCAATCAAATAACTTTTATTTTTCATTAATGAATCATAAACCACAATTTATGAAAAACTGTAATAGAAGAAAAGGGATTTTATATACTGTTTATTTTTCTTTATGAAAAGAATATCAGGAAAGAAACACTCAGAATCTTTTCAACAGATCACTGTAACTGGAATTGGAGGAATTATGACATAGATGATCAGTTCAGGTTGCTACAAGTATACTTGCCCTTCCTCCTCTCTATGCCCTGCCATATCCACTGGTTTATGTCATCTCCCATATATGCGCTAACACAATCAAGACTTTATTACCAAGAGTCAATTCAGCTATAAATTCATAGAGCAAATCAATGCTAACATTTACCATATGACTAGAGGTAGAGGTTAAAAGAGGACTATAAGGAGACACTGAGATTGAGGGACAAAGCACTTAGTGCTAGAATGATTCTAGTAAGGTCAGACTATTGCCACCAGTTGCCAAATTGCTGAACCATGAAGTTGAATGTTAAAAGACAATGTTTTTCACGGTTCATGAATACCACTCACATACTTTTTCTTCCCTAACTTAAATGACCCACACCTAACTTCTCCATCATCACAAAATAACTTCTACAGTTTTATAAGCTCCGTAAAATACATGTTGGATTTTTCCGTGCCCTGTATTCCAAACCTGAAATTATTTAAGAAACATATTTCAGCATATTGTAAATTGTCTCATGTGGAAATATTCACTTTACAGCCATGCTTAGGTTCTCCAGTTGTTAAAAACATTATTTTTAATTACAATTTTGTCATGATATAAAAATATACACCAGAGAAGATTGAATGAATTTGAAGTGAAATTTAATCTTTCCTGACAGTATATCTATCAGAGAAAACATCGATGGAAGTAAATGGGTTCCTTTATTATCTTTTGCAGAAAGCAGAGCAAGGGTTGGGGTGCACATCTATTATTTATGACTTCATTGTACATGAGCTTTTAAGCAGTGCAGTTTCAAAATATAAAAATCAACATATAAATGTGATTTTTGTAAGTACTCAAGTTCAGTAAACACTACATATAAATTTAAATATGTAAAATTAAGATTTTGATTGTCAGCTCTTCATGACTCAAGTGAAGCATTATATATTTATTTTTAAAATGATTTCCCAATTTTGAATGCATCTATAGAAATGACTTTATCACCTTTTGGAGCAAATATCCCTATTTGTATATTTATTATTAAGTGATAAAGTTAGTGAAAAGCAGACTTTAACATTATCTGAACTTCCCAGAGTAAGTTTCCTTTGTTTGGGATTTAAATACATCAAATTTGATAATGCAATAAAAACATAATTTAAAAAATACTATTTATAAACAGCACAGGTAAACAAAAAGAAAGAGAAAAGTAAATGAAAAAAGAGAATTTGTAGTTAGAACTCAGATTTGTGTACAACTGCCTATTCTCACTAATCTGTTATTTTAAGTGAACAATTAGAATAATAAAATTATTGATCATTGAGATGGTTTTTGTATTCCTTCTGATGAGGTGAAGTACTCTCACAATTATAAAATGTTAATGTATATTTAAATTAAAATTTAAAAGTGGTCCAATTTTTTAATTAAAAAAATCTTTTAAAAATAACCCTGTGTTGACTTTAGATAATAAGGTAATTGCATGGACATTTTAACATAAAAATGAAAAAAAAAAGTATCCTGCACATCTACTTTATAGTATGTTAAATCTAGCTTGCAGTTAGATACTTTTATTTCCTTCTTAATATGGTTAAGAAATGTTGTAATTAGCATAATTTCTCCTAAACTTGTGATTCTATTCAAATCCATCCAGTAAAACAATTTGCATATGATTCAAGAATACAATAAATTACAATAAAAGATATTTTCTTTCAAGAAACTATGGGAAGCAGCTTCTGTGAAAGATTATTGTCCTTCACCCCTGATAATAACTTGTTCTCCATTATATGTGTTCCAGTATGGTCATTGAACTATCTCTGGGAAAGAAGGCTCTAAAATGCCCACCTAACATAAATTAGAGACATCCTTTGTCCTGGAGATACATAAATGTGCTTTAAACTAAAGATAAAAGTAGAAAGTAAAGTTTTTTTTCTTTTTTTCTCATTATTTTATTTTATATAGTTTATACATCATTTTTCATTTTTGTACAATGTATGCATTTTCATCTAGCAAAGTTTTTTTAACTGCATGTCCCTTTGTGTTAACTTTCACCTTGCAGTCATCTTAACAGGATTTCTCTCTGGATTTCATTTTGCAGTATTACTACTCGGTCAAGGACATTTCAGTTGGAGGGATGTGCATCTGCTATGGTCATGCCAGGGCTTGTCCACTTGATCCGGTGACAAATGTATGTATATTTATAGGATGCTTAGGCAAAAATAACCCCCAAACTGTAAAATGCATCGTGATAGGTTTTGCAGGCAGGGACTCTGTGAATGGGTGTCAGGTCCCCACTTAGACAGTATAACAGAAAGCCATGCCAGGGTGAAATAGAGCTGGCAGTTAGGATGATAGACTTTGAAGTCAGCCATCACAGTATCAGAAAACAGATTAGTTTTTTTCTAAAAAGGCTGCAAACTGGTCTATCTGTTTTGAAACCTCTCTAGCTATGACAGCCTGCAGTATGATTTAGCTTTGGAGAAAGCCTGCCATCAATCATTCCAACCATTTCTGTTAAAAGTTTTCATCAAAAAAAAAATATTAATGCAAACAAATGAAAAATGTGCGTAGAAGTATAAATGGCCACAGAACCAGAGACTGAGGAAAGGTAGGGGCAAAAAGAACTAGGGTGGAAGAGGGTAGGTATTCCAGAGAGTGTTGAAACTGCCAGATGAGAAAACACTGGAATACTTTGGGGTTCAATTTTTCATTAATGACAATGTATTAAGTGAACATAACCTAAAAGCAAGATAAATGGGCATCTATTTTTCTCAGTCATAAACAAACTGGTGAAATACAAAATCATCTGCTCTATAGTATATGGAAGAAACAGACGAATGTGGAGGAAATAGATTGAATCAGTATTGTAACTACACACATACTGATTTTTTTCCCACTACAACTGTAATACAAATGGTCTTGCTCATAGTTTTCTGACTAATACATCACAATGTTACCACCTAGGGAAGCTTCAAATGTCCTGGCATATTTTTTGTGTGATGATGTGTGCAGGGAATGGGTGCTGTTTTTCAGGTGTGCTGATGAGCAGTGTTCCTCAAGCTTTGAGACCCTGTGAGGGCATTTCCGTGTGAGAAATCTAGACTCAGAGCACACGCAGATAAGAGATTCAGTTCTGAAGATATTTGATTTTTATTGTACCTGTACCCCTTGATGCCTGGGAATCTGCTTCCTCCCCTTATCTCACACCCTGAAATGCTAACATTGCTTTGATGGAAACTTTTTTTTGAGGCATCAGAGAGGGATTTCAGTCTTCGGTACCACTCCCAATTGGGCCTTTGCCCTTTTTCAAGACTGAGCCCAGTGATGCCAGAACAAGCCTAGTGTTGACCAGTATACATACTCTCAGTGCTGACTTCTCTTCCTTCCCAGCCTGACAGGAGTTTGACATTTTGGCACATAGTCTAGTTTTTTTCCTCTTCATTCTTTTAGGGAAAACCCTTCATTTATGTATCCCCCAAATGCTAAAGGAATATTTTCCCTCCTTTTTGAATAGAAATCCCGCTGTGAATGTGAACATAATACATGTGGTGATAGCTGTGATCAGTGCTGCCCAGGATTCCACCAGAAACCTTGGAGAGCTGGGACATTCCTGACTAAAACTGAGTGTGAAGGTATGTGTCTGATGAGCCAACAACACGTGTAATTCTTCCTTTCCTGGTTCATAGGTAATATTAACATGAGGTGATCATAAATAAGTACATATTTCCCGTTTAGATATTTTATTCTAGGCAATCACTGGTAAGCTTCTTTACCCTGCTGTTTTAGTTACTTTTCAGGGTTGCTGTCCTCCACCCCCATCCCAATCTGGCAAATATTTACCAAACACCATGAATTTCCCACCATGTGGGGATTATGAGAAATAGATAAAAAAAATAGTATATGCTCATTATCATTAACTTAAAGCCTATGTATATAAACATTCAGCAAAACCTAGATTATATACAGACTACATTTCTAAACATATGTCTAAACATAAAATGGTTCTGAAACAAGTAAAATCATAGATTCTTCTGATTGTTCCCTTTGAAGTTCATAACTAGTAAAAGTTTTTGATTCTCATCATCTAAGAAAGGGAGGAAAACCAGAGGAGAGAAATTACACTCTACATGTTAGCATCAGTTTATTACCTGGGAAAAAAGCATTCTGATTTATTAGTTATACTATGTAAAGGGTGGTATTTGGGGACAATATCTGGAAAGAGTGTGAGAGTAATAAATAACAAAGAAAGAAAGAGATCAAATGTGTGTAAAAATATTTAATAACAAGCATTAATTTTAAATGTCTGGTTTCTATTAATAAAAGTACAAATGCTAATATTAGAAATGGTATCACTGATAATCATTAGCATAAATTATACTATAGCAATTATCAGGTAGTGACAACCAAAAAAAAAAAATCAGTAATGAAAGCAGTTAAAGAACCAGATATGCTAATATGTGCCAACAAATACTCGTTTATATTTTAATGTTATTATTTTTGAAGACAACCCATATGTCCGTTTTTTTTTTTTTAAAGATGACATTATAGTCTAATTTTGCCAGATGACCCAGGCAGGTAACAGGGATGCTAGAAAAATTTGTGTTTCTAGAGATCTGCTCAATCAAGGTAAGACCTAACATCAAAGATTTGGGCTATACTATAGTTCCAAACTAACCATAATGTCCATTTAAATTGAACTAAAATATTAATATTTTAGTGAATGAGCTCTAATCACATTTCCACATTTTTTTTAGTTCAGTAGTCATATCTGGTCTTTAAAACAGTCTTGGTAAATATTCTTGGGATACACAAACACACACACATTATATATGTATATTTTTAACTAATATATAATATACACATTATATCCATTTATTTAATGAATATAAATATCTATCATGAGTCATGTATCAGATATGATCAGTCCATAAAACTATTGGTCCATAACAAACTTTAATCATAAAATATTGCCCAGTCATAAAATACATTTTCTTTTCAGTTTAAGAATTCTGCCTATACAGTCTATGGCTTGAGAACCTTCATGTTCTGCATTCACCACTTTTGCCTTTTGATCTTTTTCTACTTGCTTGTGAAGATATTTTGTTTTAGCAATCACCTATCTTCACTGAGACACATCTGGAGGAATGGACCTCTACCTCTCACTGTTGGAGGAGAGCATGGATTGCCTAGCTAGCTTTTGTTTTCTTTAGCTACTGTCGTCTTGGTTCCTACCATTCCCTCCGGTTCTCCATAGCTTTTTCCAATGAGAGCATTCACTCATTCCTAAGAGCGAGTATAAGTTAACTGCAGCCCATGGATACTTGTTCTTAAACTTTGTTAATTTTTAATTGAATTTCTCTTCTGCTGTGAGGTGTCAGGAATTGCAAGTGCAAGTAATGAGGGTAGGATTTCTTTCTGTTGTGCAAAATCTTTAACACTCTCTGCTTGGGCTTGGGTGTTTAAACAAGGAAACAAAGAGGGTAGGTCAAACTAGATGTACTTGTTAATTTATCAGTGTTTTAAATAATGAAATTTTAAAACAATTTCATGTTTTGTTTTGAGGTGGATGAGAGGTTGTATTTCCACATTGAAAAGCAATTGTCTTTTAAAGCTTACAAATTAAAGTTGGAAATCTTAAACCTAAAGCCTTTATAAATGCTGTGCTTTTGGCAATGAAAAGCTTATATGAAAATTTATTTTCCAGTTGAATTATGTTGCAGTCCCAATAATACTTAGGAAATAGTCCTTCCAGGACATGACAAATCCCTCTATAAAATGAATAATCACCTTCTGATTCATTTGAACATAATTTGGATTTTCATCAATCTGGCTTATTTGAGGCAAGATATATCTTACAAAGAACAAATACTCATTCCATTGTTAAGCCTTTACTAATGAACAGTTTAATATCCTATATCTTAGACATTATATGAAATAGCAAACTGCTGATGAAAAAGCAAAAGAGTCCGATCATGTCCTTTAAGACTATCAGTGGAAAGCAGTGCAGGCTCAGGGCCTTTAACAGCAAGCAGGGCCACAGGGAGAATACCTTTACCACATGGAGTGTAAAAGGACTGCAGCTCAAGCTCAGTGTTTTATCCACATCAACTCATGGTAATAAATACTCTCAGAAGAACTAATTCTAAATAGTGTGAGAATAAAATTCAATTCCTCTGTTTTTCCCTTGGCTTACATTGGTAGCAGAAATCTTGACTGTTTCTTGCAATATATTTCTACAACAGAATTTTTAGGAGTTTTTTTGCATATAAAGATTTAAAATCACTTACCATGCCTAGTGATTTGCAAATTTTACTATATGTTACATAGAATGAAATTTGAAAATGCTCCATTAATAAAGCAAAAATAGTATGTTCTAAATCAAAAGTCAACAGACTATAGAAAGTATTTGCAACAAATTTGACAGTGTCCTTACTACATTAAGAGAGCAGTAAGTAAAAATGTTAAGTAAGCTTGTTAAAAATAAGCAAAGGGCCTCCCCAGTGGCACAGCGGTTGAGTGCTGGGTTGTGAAGCTGCCCACAGCCTCTGTAGCACCGTTTCGATCCCCGGCCACCGGGCGAGGGTCCCAATGGCACGCAGACCTCTTCTGCCACCTGCTGCTCCCCTCAGCAGTGTACTTCTTCAGTCTCCATGCTCTGCTCTCCCCTCTGGCTCTGGTGAATTCTCTCACACTACCGCACTTTATTTATTTATACAAGCACAGGGTACAGTCAGAAGCACGGGAGGGTGAGAGAATTCACCAGAATGGGGAACAAAGCAGGCAGACTGACGAAATACACTGCTGAGGGGAGCAGTGGGCATGGCAGGAGAGGTCTGTCGCCCCATGTGGGACCCTCGCCTGGTGGCTGGGGATCGAACAAGTGCTGCAGAGGCTGCGGGCAGCTTCACAGCCCAGCGCTCAACCGCTATGCTACCAGGGGAGGCCCTGTTTCTTTTTTTTAATAGAATTTTTAGAAAAAAAATTTCAAGTGAATTAAAATTACAATTAAGCTTTTACATGCAATTCCTGCATAACTTGAGTATACTTGCAGAAATGTAGTCTATAGATGTAATCATGCACAGATACTGGGCAAAACTATATCTTAGCTGCTCTTATTGTACCTATAGGATCTGAAACAGAGATCATGATCCTTGGCATTAGTATATAATTGTTAATACTGTTTTATGGCACAAGCAACTTAGATACCAGGACTAACAAGGAGCAAGTTTATTGACCAGTGCTGACTCAGCATATTTGCATCCAAAGAATGAACCCTTTTTGTAGGAAATCAAGGGCTTTTGTACACTTTCAGTTTCTACAAGGTTCTTGGTGGGTTTGCATTGGCAACTATACATGCTCACAAATGATGTGGCTACATACCAAGAGGTGAATTGTATAGTTGCATATCAAGGAGTGACTAAAGGGTCACTAGTCATGGGACCCCCCAGGTCCATTCTGCCTCATGGAGGTACATGGTCTAACATGAGCAAGATTCATACCAGGAACTAAGTGGCATACCAGGAACTAAGCAAAAGGTTGTTACTAAGCTCTGAGGCTGCTTATCTCAGGTCACCATGCTTCAATATTACAACTACTAACATTTGTGGAGCTGAATATTTACTATTTCTCAGCCTTTCTACAAGATGTGTTACATTCTCAAGCAACGTAAGAGATACATATTAAAAAATTAAACAATTTGAATTTTCTCCTCAAAATCATGCAGCTGACAAATGGGGAGCCTTCTAACATTAGAATTTCCACTCCTACCCATGTTTCTTTTCCTCCTAGTTGTACTCAGTATTATTTATAAAGGTGAAATCTGTAATCAATATAATTGACCATTTGCTGGGACCTGAAAAATGCCTCCATTCAAGAAGTACCCTATGTAGCATTAGGGGAAAGAGATGTGGATAGAGAAAGAACTATGCTATTTATTGCTAGTAAAATGAAGCATTTCAGAAGATTAAATGTGTCAATGATGATTCATTAATGACAGATCTCACATAAGACTTTGGCCTCAATATCATACAATTTGGGTGTGTAGTGGGCTATACCATCTAGGCTTGTGTAATTACACTTTATGACAGTGCAAAATGAAAAATCTCCTACCAACACATTAGTTAGAACAAATTCACTCCTTTATGCAAGGTATGCCTGTGAATAATCAAAATAAAACAAGATTGAGCTCTGTGTGTGTGTGTGTGTGTGCAAATCAATGTAAAGAGACCTTAGAAACTCAGCGTTTGTAGGAGACTCTTCATAATATACCTTTTCCTTGGGCCCCATCCAAAATAAATGCTATCCATTTTTCAAACCCTTATCCAGTTGTTACTCTGATAATGTGACATGAAGAACTAAAAGAGTAGTAAATGAAGGAGTGATAGGAAGACAAGGAGGATGGAGGGGAGAGAAAGGGGAGGAGGAAAAATCAATTGAGAACTTATTTATAAGGCAGTTTTGCTAGTGATTTTACATGCATTTTTCTCACTTAATGCTTTTAAATTCACCTGGTAATTACTATTGACCACTACATGCTTTATTTGGGAACCAGTCTATAGTGAAATTAAGATGTTCCTTACATCCCACAGCTAGTAGGTGGTGGAGAAAACATCCAATCTAAGACTGGTTAAAATTATCCTGATCCCAGCCACTAAGCCAACCAACACTCTTTTTGTACTGATTCCCTGCAGTTATCATACATTTTAATGTCTCTATAAGTTGAAAGAAGAGTGGCAGTACTTAGCCTTGCAGACTCGAACCTAACTGCATAGTGGTTTCTGAAACTGATTTGGTTATCTTTCACAACGTCTCTGTACCTCAAGTTCCAAATATGAAAAAGAAATTACTAATACTATCTTAAATCATAATGCTGTAAAGATATTTGAGATATTGAGATATTTGAGAATCAAAATCTGTGGTAGTAAATATAAAATACATAGCATATACAGAAACCCCAACTTTCAGTTATACGTAGTAGTAAAAGTAGTTTAATCCATAGGATCTAAAACAGATTTACATGTAATAATCCATTTTCTGGATATTAATTGTTCAGAACCATAACTAATAGTAATTGCTTGTAATATAAGAAAATTTAGGTTGAGTCATTATAAGTTATCAGTTTTATAAGATAAAATCTGTCAAATACTTGCAATTTCATAAGATTCAGCATAATTTACATGTTTTAGGTATTTCAAGTTCTATTAAAAGGTATAAATTTAATAATACATGCAATAAATCCAAGTACTTTCTACATACTTTGGTATTGATTTTAAAGATGTCAAATATAACGTAATTTCCATCATAGCATATAAATCTATTACATAGCAGAAAATGATTTTTAAATATATGCAAAATTAATATTTATGAATTTATTTTTCCTTAATGCAGCATGCAATTGTCATGGGAAAGCTGATGAATGCTATTATGATGAAAATGTTGCCAGAAGAAATTTGAGCTTAAATATACATGGAAAATACATTGGAGGCGGCGTGTGTATCAATTGTACCCAAAACACTGCTGGTATAAACTGTGAGACATGCATTGATGGTTTCTTCAGACCCAAAGGGGTAAAGTATACCTGTTCTTTCATGAAATTTTATTTTGACTTTTTCATGCAAGATGTGTTGTATGGAAAAAAATTTTGATAGAACTCAAAATTCTGAAAGGTGATAAGCCGCGTTTCATAATGGAAACAGATAAAATATTTGAGGATAGAGTATACAATATTTTGATCTCTTTAGAAACTTGTGTTGTGCCTCATTCCAGTCCATCTCAACCTATAAGCAAATTCTGTTCTGATTTTAAGAATTTAAATCAATTTTGCCTCTAAGTGAACTTCATAAAAATGAAATCATAAAGTGCATACAAATTCACATTACATAACATTTGGAGGTTTGTCCATGTTGTGTGCCTCAGTGGTTCCTTTAAAAAATATTGCTAAGTAGTATTCCTTTTCATGAATATACCACAATTTTTATTTTTTATTATTGTAGTTATTTTTATTTAATTTTTGGACATATATGATTTCTCCCCTCAGATGTGATCACTGTTGTCCCACCACCAAAACACCCATATTCCATCACCATATTCCCTTATGCTCTTGCTCTACCCTTTTTCACCCTTTTCCACATCCTCTCCTTCCCCTCATGGATGCCTCATATCTATGTTCACCTTTTAAAGTTTGTCTTTGTCTGACCCTTTGTTTGGTTTTCCTATATTCCACCTATAAGTGACACCATCCAATATTTACCTTTTTTCCTTCCGGCTTATTTTGCTTAACATTAACCCTTCCAGCTCCCCCAAGTTGCTGCAAATGGCATGTTTATCTTTTTTGATCATTGAGTAGTATTCCATTGTGTGTGTGTGTGTGCGTGTGTATATATAGCACATCATCTTGATCCATTTAACTGTTCTGGGACATCTTGGTTGTTTCCATATCTTGGCTATGGTAAGTAGTGTTGCAATAAACATAGGAGTGTAGGTTTCTTTTTGAATTGGTGTTTTTGTGTACTTTGAGTAGATTCCTAAGATTAGAATAACTGAGTTAGATGACAGATTCGTTTTAAGTGTTTTCAGGAACCTTCATACAGCTTTTCATGGTGGTTGGACCAGTTTGCATTCCCACCAACAGTGTAAGAGGTTTCTTTTTTCTCCACATCTTCGACAGCCCTTGTTCTTGTTTTTATTTTATTTTTTTAATATGGGCCATATTCACAGGTGTGAGGCGGCATCTCATTGTGGTTTTGATTTGTATTTCCCTAATTATAAGTGATATAGAACATTTTTTCACATGCCTGTTGGCCATTCGCATTTCTTCTTTGGAGAAGTGTCTGTTCAGTTCTACATTGGGTCAGGTCATTTAATTTGTTTTGTTGAGTTGTGTGAGCTCTTTGTAAGTCTTTGATATCAGCCCTTTATCAGATGTGTGGTATGCAATTATTTTCTTCCATTCAGTGTTTACTGTCTCTTTTGCTCTACAGAAGGTTTTTAGTTCCATATAGATCTGGCTTTTTATATTCTCTTTTACCTTGCTTCTGGAGATGAGTTCTCAAGTGTTTCTGAAGTTTATGCCATGGATGTTCTCTTCGATATATCTTATAGAATGTAGTGATTTCTGGTTCTATCATGTGTCTATGGTGATGATCTTTTTGACTTGTTTTGTGCCCCATAATATGACCCACCCTTGAGAAGTTTTTTTAGCACTGAAAAAGAATATATATGCTGTTGTTTGGGGAGTGAATATTCTATAAGTATCTGTAAACCATATCTTCTGATTTGTCTTTTAAGGTCAATGTTCCCTTACAGATTTTCTCTCTAAATGATCTGTCCATTGCTGTGAGGTGATAAAGTCCCCACCATAACTGTGTTCTGTCAGTGTCTCCTTTTTGGTCTGTTAGTATTTGCTTTATAAATTTTGTGCGCTGGCTTTCTCATGCCTACTCTTCGCATTGTATATATTTTTTCATTATTTGATTACATTAAATCTCAGTTTTCATTGAAAAAGAAGACTTAGAAACAATAAAGTATCAGAGTGCTTTTTTTTTTTTAATACAAACAATCTTTGGCCTGCTTTTGTTTGTCCTGAAAACAAAGGATGCTTTTTCCTTATTTAAGTTTTCTAAATTCCTGCTATGAGTGAGACCATCCAGTATTTTTCTTTTTCTTTCTGCCTTATTTCACTGAGCATGATCCCTTCCAGCTCCACCATGTTGCTGCAAATTGCATAAGGAAAAAGCCTAATTATAATAAAGTAAAAATCAACAAGCAACTATAAACCAGAGATACACTATGGGTTGGGGAGGGGAGGTCAAAATGGGGAGGGAGGTGGGAATTGTATGGGGAATATAACCAAGATGAAAATGCATACATTGTGCAAAATTGAAAAAACGATGTAAAAATATATATGTAAGTATATATATGTAAGTTAGGATGCTTTTTCTTCTTTTTTTTTTTTAACATTTGCAAAGGTTTATAGATGAAGGGAGGAGGGAAAGGAGGTAGAAACAGAAGAGAAGGAGCAATAAAGAGAAGGAGGAGAATCAGGAAAAGAAAGGAAAAGGAAGGAAAGAAGAATAATGAGATTAAGAAAAAGAATGGGCCTCCCCAGTGGCGCAGAGGTTGAGCACTGGGTTGCGAAGCTGCCCGCAGCCTCTGCAGCGCCAGTTCTATCCCCAGCCGCTGGGTGAGGGTCCCACATGGTGCGCAGACCTCTTCTGCCACGCCCGCTGCTCCCCTCAGCAGTGTACTTAGGTCCTTCTGCCTGCTCTGCTCCCTTCTTTGGCTCTGGTGAATTCTCTCACCCTCCCGTGCTTCTGACTGTACCCAATGCTTGTATGTATGCTTGTATGCATATATGTATAAATCAATCAATCAATCAATCAATCAATAAATCTTAAAAAAAAAGAAAAAGAATAAGAAAAACACAAACAAGATGGACAAGTACAAGAAGGATTAAGAGGAGGAGAAGGAGGAATAGGAAAGAAGATTATGAGAAGACACTTTATAGGGTTTACAAATCTAAAATTTTACTCTATGGCTTTTTACCAAAAGAGTTTTCCAAGCTCAGAGTTAACACTGTGTATTTATGTGGCTTTTTTTGTTCTTATATTTTTGGTTAACTGAACTCTAGATTCATAAATTGAGACTTTATACCTCATTTAAGAAATTTTAAACAATATTTCTTCCTTTTTTTTTTTCCGGTTGTGCTCTGTTTCCTGAGACTCCAGCTGTATGCATGTTGGGTTGCTGATCTGTGCACATAGTTTATTGATATTTGGGGACATTTTAAATAAGTCTCTAGTTATGACACTTTCATTTATATATTAGCAAGCAGGTTTTCATTTGTAAATTAATCCTAGATATATAAATATATGTAAATTGAGTAAAAATATAGTTTTCTTAGGCTGAGTTTTTTTTTTTTTCCCATGACCTTCCAGCACAGGCAGCCTAGTAGATAATGTGTAGCCTTGAGATGTAGTACGGATGTGCAAAGAGCAGTAAATAACATGTAACCTTGAAGTATAGTTCATATGCAGGAAAACATACTTATGTAACCTAGCATAAGGTTACATCAACTTGGCCCTATGCCAGCTTTATCCATAAATGATATAAAAGCTGATATGGCTCCTGGGATAGGGGGTACTGGGGTGGGGCTCTGCTGCTATTGTGGCCCTGAGCCCAGGGGTGATGCTACTACTTACTGCTGCCTCTGCCATTGCTGTTGCCACTGCTGCTGTGGCTTGGAGGCTGCACAAGGGGGCCCAAGAGAGACTGTTCTGGAGGCTGCCAGGCTGCTGGAACCCCCATTACTGCTGTTATGTACCATGTTCACCGCCCGCCAGAAGCCATGGATGCTCCAAATGTTGCTGCCCTATGTAACTTGTCTCCTGTTGCTTCAAGAAAGACTTGTTGCTGACCCTACCAGGGCCTTCTAACTGTTCTCTCATGTGCTGCCATCATAAACCCTGGGCAAGCTTTGAGCTGGGAGCCTGACAATATACAAAGCTCTATTTTATGGGAGTGTGTGTATGTGTGCGTGCATTAAACACAGATACATTTATGTGTGCACATAAATACACACATATATGTATCATCAGTATTTCTTGGCAAGGCAAATAATTTTAATGTTTTTGTTCATATTCGATTGCACCTGGAAAATAAATGTAATTGGTGTATATTAGTACAATCTAGCTTGAATATTTGATACATGTGAGGAATCTTCTGAGATTATTTTGTTATTCCTTTTAATTTTAATTTAACATCACTATAATTGTTATTAATATTCTCATATTAAAAAAGAAGTATTATGTCACATCATATCACAGTTAGTAAGTGCCCACCCTGGGATATGAGCTCAAGCTTGTGTAATTATGGACCCTACATTGTTTCCTTCCAGGTTGTGCTGCCTCCCTAGAAAATCAAGCTTTAATTTAATTATTTAGTAGTGATTTTTTTAAAGAACCCATGTAAATTTTCATTTACTCATGCAGTGATTTATGTGCAAAAAGTTCCTGAAAAATGAATTTAGGGAAAAATTGCTAATTTTGAACTATGCTATAATAAAAAACACCCACCCAAATCAGGAAGACTGGTGGCCTCCCTCGTGATACACGGGGATAAGTCTCAGCACTATGAAGCTTTGGCAGCCACTGTGGCATGAGTTCAATCCCAGGCCAGGGAAGTAACCCACATGGTGCATCAGACCTCTCCTGTCTTGACTATTGCTCCCCTCAGCAGTGTATTTTAGTTAATCTGTGTCTTCTGCACCCAATTCTATCTCTGGTAAATTCTCTCACCGCCCCCCCCCACATCTCTGGCCCAGCTCTTGTATGCATAAATAAATACATCTTTTAAAAAGCAGAAAGAGGGCCTCCCTGGTGGCGCAGTGGTTGAGCGCTGGGTTGCGAAGCTGCCCACAGCTTATGCGGCGCCGGTTCGGTCCCCGGATGCTCCCCAGCCACTGGCAGACCTCTCCTGCCGCCCACTGCTCCCCTCAGCAGTGTGCTTCGGTCCTTCTGCCTGCTCTGCTCCCTGCTCTGGCTCTGGTGAATTCTCTCACCCTCCCGTGCTTCTGACTGTACCCAGTGCTTGTATAAATAAATAAATGAATGAATGAATGAATGAATGAATGAATGAATAAAAAAGCAGAAAGACTATATTATGGAGTGTATGTTAGAGAATATAGCATATCAAGCTAATATTATTTTTGTGTGTTATAATGGCAATTATGATTATAAAAGAAAGAGATACATACTATATAGGAGTTTTTGCTCTATCCTTTTTAATTCTGTATATCCATATAGTAAAGATGGATTTTAGAAACTGTAAGCATATATTAAAAATATTTTTTTACAATTTTTCTCAATATAATTTATTACTATGTATTATAATTTATTTTCTTGAAGCTGTTGTATTGAAAAATTTAGCTTTTTTTATTACACTTGATTAAGAGCATTTTATATTTTTGTTAGGTATCACCAAAGTATCCAAGACCATGCCAACCATGCCACTGTGATGCAGTTGGTTCCTTGAGTGAAGTCTGTGTCAAGGATGTGAAGCAGGCTCGCAGAGGTGAGAGCGGCAGCCGTGCTTTTGAGGAGGGGGCAGCCAGAATCCAGATAGGATGATTTTCAGGAGAGCTTTTTGCAGTTAATTTCATTCGTGTAATGAACTTATATCAAAGTTCCCTTCCTCGAAGCAGTTTTATTTATTTCAATAATTAATTTCATGTTTAATTACAGTGCTTTAAAAACAAGAAGAGTTAAATCATTTTTGTATTATATATGTACATAAATATTTTAAATATTTATGCAAATACATATTTTATGGTCAGTCACAAATCTGTGGTGTATCTAATTCTTATCTTATTTTTATTAGATTGCTTTGTATCTTCTATGGTTTCCTGAATGAAATGACAGCTTTCATTGGGAGATGTGTGTACTACAATGGGAAGAGTAAATAGAGATCCCTTATTGAGATGTCAATAATATAGAAAGCAGAAGTATACATAAAGGATTAAAAAGTAGGAGTCATGAGTAATGAAAGGCTGTCACTAATTTAAGCCAATTATTTTCTGAGGTTTGGAATTCATGATGAAATCCAAACCTTAAAAAATCAGATGCCAAAGTGACAAGTTGATATAAAATGTTCTAGAGCTACTTCCAGAAGTGTTGCTAACCAATGTTAAAAAGAAAATTCATGGACTATATCTGCAACAGTTTAATTATATCTCCAACAGTGGATTCTTCTTTTCTTTGGAAAGACTAAAATAAATTATTACTACGATATAGGTTCCTTTCACCATTGACTTTCAAGTTAAAATATTGGTAGTTTCTTTGGCACAGGGTAGTTTACCTGTTTTTTTTTTTTTTGATTTTTTTTTTTTTTTGGTAAAACTTGGGATTAACAATTTAGTCTTTTTTTTAAAGATTTATTTATTCATGTATACAAGAACTGGGATATAGGCCAGATACAGGGGAGGGTGAGATGATTCACCAGATTCAGAGCGGGGAACAGAACAGGCAGACTGAAATACACTGCTGAGGGGAGCAGAAGGAGAGACAGGAGAGGTCTGCCATGCCATGTGGGTATCTCTCATCTTGGTGGTTGGCTGGGGATTGAACTCATGCTATAGAGGCTGTGAATAGCTTTACATTGTTGTACTTATCCCCTTGTGCCACCAGGAAGACCCCTATCAATTTAGTCTTATAGTCTAAAATCTTAAAAGTTTAAAAGATGATAATTTTAATCCTTAAGTGGTGTGTTTTTGAGTTAATTTTTCATTTTATAGTCTCTTATCTTTTTATAGTAACAACTAACACATTATTTTTAGTGATATCATTTAACTTTCTCCCTGCTTTTAAAATGGTAAATATATTATTGTTGAACAAGTTATGAAAAATGGAAGAATTAAAAAATAAATTCACAATGCGGTGGTATTCAGATATTATTATTACAATATAGTGCTAATTCAGATACTATTACTATTATATTGTGTTAACGCTATATAATGAGTTTTTCCCCTTATCGTAAATGGATCTTGAATTATATTAAGTGACTTCTCTACATCTATTGAAATGATCATCTGATTTTTATCTTTACTTTTGTTGATATATATTATACTGACTAAATTGTAAATGTGAATCATCCTTGCATACCTGTAATAAATCCCACTTGGTCATGATGTATGATCCATTCAATTTATTGGTGAATTCATTTTGTGAAGATTCTGTTGAGGATTTCTGTATCTGTGTTTATCAAGAATATTGGCCTGTAGTTTTCTTCTTTTTCTTGTCATCTGATTTCGTGCGAGTAATGTTGATCTCATAAAATGTGTTTGGAAGCATTCCCTCTACTTCAATTTTTAAAGAATTTAGAAGGATAGATATTAGCTCAACTTTGAAGATTTATTATAACTCACTAGTGAAACCATCTGGTTAGGATCTTTTGGAAGTGTAAGCTCTCACCTCTTCAGGTATATTTACCATAGTGATGAATTTATTTAAAAATAAAGAAGTAGCTTCAAACCACTTTTATTTCTCTCCTTTTACATTTTTCAATCACCAAAATATCCATTTCCACAAATACATTTAGTCTTTTCTTGTACTTAATGTATTATACTTAGATTAATGCTGTTAAATTTTTAACTAATTTTATATATTTTTTACATCATTGTTCGTTTTTAAACGATGTTTGCTTCCCCCACCCCAATCCCCTAGGTGTAGTCCCCATAGAATTTCCTCCACCAATGCTGTTAAATATTTTTAAATAGTGTATTTTTGCTCAAGACAATGTTCCATTTTGTATAGTCTAAGGGGACTTATGAGCCAACAGCTGTGACAGGTTACTGCTTATTCTTAATCCAGTGTCATCTGTCTATGTTACAGAAATTACTCCTTGATCATTGTTATGATGTCTTCCTTTTATTCATTCACAATATTTTTAATTATGCTTAAAAGATATGTTGGGCCTCCCTGGTGGCGCAGGGGATTAAGACGCGGCCTTTGAAGCTGTCAGCAGCCTCTGCAGTGTGAGTTCAACCCCTGGCCGGCCAAGGAGTAACCCACATGGTGTAGCAGACCTCTCCTGGCTCACCTGTTGCTTCCCTAAGCAATGTACTTCTATTGAGCTGTCTTTTCTGTTCCCCACTCTGTCTCTGGTGAATCCTCTCACCCCCCCATGCCTCTGGCCTGTACCCCTGCTCTTGCTCTTGTATGCATAAAGAAATAAATCTTTAAAAAAATATATGATATGTTAGAGAATCATTGCCTGCTTTTAATTAAACCTTATATACTGTAGCTTTAACTTTTCTTGTTGTTGAACATCAATAATCTAATTTTTGTATCAAAATAGACTTTAAAAGGTTACTATATCTAAAACCTTAGGAACTAAAATGTTGTGGTGTCACTCTTCTCCCCTTAGGTCTGGCACCTGGTTCCTGCCATTGTAAACCTGGCTTTGGAGGTTTGAGCTGTGATCGGTGTGCCAGGGGCTACACTGGCTACCCAGAGTGCACACGCTGTAATTGCAGTGGCTTAGGGAGCACAAATGAAGACCCTTGTTTTGGACCCTGTAACTGCAAGGTACGTTGTATATTCTGGTAATGTCCCACTGTAAAGACAACAGATCATCTTCCTTGACTTCTCTGTTATGTCTGCTGGCATTAAACAATCGTAACAATTTCTTCTCTAAATATTTCTTATGGATCCTATATGTGGCACTCCTGTAGGTGTCTTTACAAGCCTAGTAGGTTCATTGCAATGAATGTCTTGCCATTTTGTCTAAAAACCAAAAAATACACAGAAGATAAGCCATTTCAAAAATCGGTGTCATTTTTTTTTTCACAAAAATACTTTCCCTCCAATTACCCATGTAGTGAATTAAAAATATACCACACTACAAAGAACAACTCTTTAAAACTATTATGCACTCAAATTACTATAACTTTGTATGTAATTCTAAAAATAATTTTATGAATGGTTTCATACTGGATTTTTTAAATTCGAAATTTGAACTCAGGTAAGACTGAAAATATTGTATTTAAAATCTGTTTAGTTACCAGAATGTGAGGCACCCCAGTGGAATTGATAAAGGCTCCATATTTCCTCCCAAGAGTTCTTTCAGAAATGCAACTTTATTTGTTGTACATGCTCAGATAATACCTCATCATGATAATACTAAGGATGCATTGTAACTGCAACTTATACACAGAGAAGAAACATAGAGGCACACAGTCTAAAATGTTGAGTGTTCAGTCCTGAGATTCAGACCAGTTAGCTGGTATTAGCTACATTAACAGCAGAGTGAACATTTTGTTGAAGAAATTAACCTACCATTTTGATGTAAAAATGAGTATTACTGCTTTTTCTCTTTGTTTTCAATCACAGATGAAACCTAAATAAGAATATTTCCTTTATTAATTTATTAGGCTTATCTTATTTTTTAAAAGATTTATTTATTTATTCATACAAGAACTGGAGTACAGGTCAGAAGCGCAGTAGGGTGAGAGAATTCACCAGAGCCAGAGCGGGGAGCAGAACAGGCAGATGGACCGAAGACACTGCTGAGGGTGAGGCAGGAGAGGTCTGCTGTGCCATGTGGGGTTCTCCTTGGCCGGCAGGGAATCGAACCGTTGCTGCAAAGGTTGCAGACAGCTTCGCAGTGCAGCACTCAACCACTGCACCACTGGGGAGGCCCTAGGCTTGTCTTAAAGCTATAAATTACATGCTTACATTTGTCATGTGTATATACAAATGTAAACCGATAACCAGGGCATAAATATTAGTATTGATGTTAAGTATATATTGTTGGGAAAAAAATGTATGAATGTCAAGCTACATGTTATTATTGTCACATATTATAACAGAGGTAGTTTAAGTACCTACCTTGGATAATTGAAACAATAAAACTCCTATCTACATAAAAAGGCAGGAAACTCACAGTCCTTGAAGATTTATTTAAAAACACCACACCCCCCCTTCAGTCTGTTTGTCATTTTAGACAACTCTACAGACTCTTATATCTTTGCTAATATTTACCAGAATATATATTGTATGTGCTTTTTCCCTTTTCCAAAACTCCGCTGAAATCTCTGTCCTTCATTACTTGATACTGAAAGGACAGGCAAAGCTGAGGGTTAATGAAAAGGAAATTTCCCAAGTGTTTAGAAATCACACTGGGAAAAAAGAAAGAACATTTTTATAAATCTATATTTGCAAGGAAAGCGTAGCGATGAGTGAAGGACAAACCTCATTTTGTTCATTTTCTTTGTAAAAATAATGAGAGACTGGAACAGAAAAGCCGTAGCATTGGCAGAAACCGAGGAAAAGGTCCTTGAGTTACTGCCTGCTCTCTGCCTAACTCTTGTACCAAGAGTAAGTATAATCATAACAAGAAGTCCTTCCTGCAAAGTCACTTGAAGGTTTATACAGAAAATTCAAAAATGAATGAACAGCAAGTAAGATATCATAAAAAGAATGAAAATTAAATAAATAGTATCATTAAAAGAGTTGTCCTTCAACTATGTGATGTTTTAAGTATTAATAGATGATTTTTTTTTTTTTTTTGTGGGACCCTCGCCAGCGGCCGGGGAATGTACCAGCACTGTAGAGGCTGCGGGCGGCCTCGCAACCCAGCGCTCAACCACTGAGCCACCAGGGGAGACCCTTAATAGATGATTTTAAAAATAAATAAAGAGATAGATGATTATAAATGCCTGTAAACTAAATACTTTTTTAAAGAAACCTGCAAAAATCTGGTTTTATTAAATACATAAGTTTGAAAATCACAAATTATATGCATATAACATATGAATTATATCACAATATATGTGCATCAAACGCACTATACTTCGTTCCCTATGGTCTCTTGTATATGAGAATAATACATAACCCAGCAATTTAACAAAATATGTATGTGATTTATTTAAAGATCTATGTATGTATCTATCTATCTATCTATCTACCTACCTACCTACCTATCTATCTATCTATCTATGCATAGACCTGGGGTATAGATGAGAGGTGCTGGGGGGAGTGGTGGTTGTGAGAATTTACTCGAAACAGAGTGGGGAGCAGAACAGGCAGATTTACTGAAATACACAGCTAAGGGGAGCAGCAGGCGAGTCAGGAGAGGTCTGCTGTGCCATGTGGGTTAGCTCTCTGGCCAGGGATCAAACTCATGCCACAGTGGGTGGCTGGCGATAGCTTGACAGTACTGAGATTTTAACCCCTGTGCCTCCAGGGAGGCCCCAATGTGTATGTGATTTTAAATACTGAAAGACATTTGTTAATGTAGAAAGAAATATAGTAACTCATTCTGTTTCTCAAAACATGCTTTGAAATAGGTGTGCCAGCTGATGATTAAAACAATATCGATAAAAATGTTACTTAAAAAGTAGAACTATTCAGGGACTACTGTCTTAAATACAAATAAAATGGTATCTTCATAAGTGTTCATCTCCAAAATACATATTAACCATTAAACATTTACACCTTTACTTCATAACACACAGTCTTTTTTTGTAATTCCCTTTAGATATAAATATCTCAATTTCTGATAGGTAAACATTTTAGGAAAATGTTTTACCATGAAATTCTGGAGTCTATTGTAAATTTTAGATTATAGACATTATGGCAAAATGCTATATTGAATTCATGTGGCATCACTTTCCCCATTTCTTCCATTTCAAGTACATATATGGTGGTTAAAACAAAGAAAATAAATTTATAACCATGTGGATTAGTAAAGATAGGGAAATTCCCAGATGTCAAACCAAAGAGGAAAATTTAAGTTAAGCGTAAGTTCAAATATAACTGAGCAAATAGGATCATGCGGTGAATTGTTGATGCTGGTCTTAGAACTAAAACGGGTTCTCCAAAACACTAGACTCTGAACACACAGGAGTAAAAGGGAAATTAATTCACATAATCTTGGACTCTACAAATGCACCCTGATAGTGAAATAGTCACTAGAAAATTCTACCTGCAAGCTGAAAGAGGCAGATAGAAAACTTTTCCTTTCTTTTAATGGTCTGGACAGGGAAAAATGAGCACCCTGTGAGAAATCAAATCCCAAAACCTATGTGCCACTTGGGGATGAGTTGGTTTTATTTTTGCTTTTTGTGCTAGCATTCCTCAAAAAGTCAGGCCCATGTTATTCCCTCAGGAAACAAAATACAGCCTCAACTAAAAATGAGCGCATCATAAGCAGTGCACAGCTCAAAAGGAAAATAACTACAAAAGGGTATCATTAATCACAGAGAGTCATCAGAATATTTGTACACTAAGAACTTGAGGGACTAGAATAGTCTGAAAGTAATCATATAAGCGTAAAAGTATAGAATTCTATTTTATACAATAAATATCTAGAAGTCTATAATGACAGTATGAATCAAAGATAAAATAATAAAAAGGGAAAGAATAGGAAGAAATACAAAATCAGACACAATACTATATTAAATAATCCTCAAATTTAAGGGAAAAAAACCTATATATAATTTACTTCTAGAAAAATATATGTAGTCATTGGAATTTAAAAGTCAGTGAATGGGTTAAATAAGAAATTCAACACTGCTGGATAGAGAATGAGAAATACTGTCATGAGGAAATTACCTATCAATTTGCATATGGAGGTTGAGAAATAAAAATATGAGATGCTAAGTGACATGGCTGATAGAAAGATAAAATTCAACATACATAAACAGGAGGTACCAAATAAGAGATTAGGTGAAAGTGGGAAGAAACTATATTCAAAAAATAGTGAATGGTAAAAGATTTGTCAGTAATTAAAGAAAAATATCAAAAATTAAAGTATATATATTTTCAGTTAAAAAAATAAAAAGACCCTAGTAGAAAACCTGCACACCATTCAAAACAAAGAGAAAAACATATGCTTACCACTTGCAGTTCAAATTCATCCAAGAAACTACTTGGTTTTGTATATACTTTAGTAAGAAGAATATTGAACTCAGTAGAGAGTTCCAGTGGATTGTAGAACACAAAAATCAATCTATGTAAACCATGTCTATATACCAGTGATAAACAAATAGAATAAAGAAGAACAATTGTTAGAATAACAACAAATGCTATTCAGTTCCTAGAAATAAATGTCTTTAAATTGGCATAATATTTGAAAAAGTTATTGAAAAATTTATTCCCAAATATTTGATTTTTTTTGTTTCAATAACAAAAGGGATGGTCTTTTCGATTTCTTCTTCTTCAGATTTATTGTTTGTGTATAGGAAGGCTACTGACTTTTGCGTGTTGATTTTGTATCCTGCCACTTTACTGAACTGATTGATGAGTTGAATTAGCTTTTCTGTGGAGTTTTTGGGGTTCTCTATGTATAATATCATATCGTCTGCAAATAGTGATAGTTTGACTTCTTCTTTTCCTATTTGGATTCCTTGGATGTCTTTCTCTTGTCTTATTGCCCTGGCTAGGACTTCCAGTATTATATTGAAAAGCAATGGTGAGAGTGGACATCCTTGTCTTGTTCCAGATCTTAATGGAATTGCTTTCAGCTTTTCACCATTGAGAATGATACTGGCTGTTGGCTTGTCATAGATGGCCTTTATGATGTT